CATCACATTCACAGATTTGTTTAACTGTGGGGTGCAAAAAACGGAAAAAGTGGAATGCAGGAGAGAAAATGGATTGGACAGATTAGGCAGGCCAAATGTTGGGGGAAACCTTTCCACATTAATACTTGATTGAGAGGTAGACTGCTCCAGAACAGGCAGGTTCTGTTGAGCCTTCCTTCAAAACAGCCGTTATCTCCCCCTCCCTGCCACCAATTCCATCTGTTTAGCCTTCTCGGTGGGCTTGTGTGGCTGCTCCTCTTCCGGGGGGGCTCGTGGCGGGGTGATTTCTACCCGTTCACCCTGCTTTCTCTTCCGCCAGTGGAGAACCCGGCTCACTGCGACTTTGTCAAGCTGCGCACCATGCTGATACGGACCCACATGCAGGACCTGAAAGACGTGACGCGGGAGACGCATTACGAGAACTACCGGGCCCAGTGCATCCAAAGTATGACCCGGATGGTGGTCAAGGAGCGGAACCGCAAGTAAGTTGGTGGCCGTGAGATTCGCGTGCGTGCGTGTGGAACGGCAGAGAGAGGGGAGCTGGTTCCGTGGTCATTGGCGTGGCCAGAAAACGTGGATGTCGTGCGCTTCCCCCCACCTTCCGTAACACTGTTCTATCCCCCTCCTTGCTTTAACAGGCATGAAGAGGAAAGACAGAAAATGTAGTCGTAGCCAAACTGCTTTCAACTCCCACATTTTTCCCCTCCTCAAATGACTATTTAAAGGCCTTCAAAGCAAGACAGGAATTGACGGCTGCCACTGCCTGAAAACTGTTTTGGGAACAAAATAAATTATACCCGTTGGAAGCCCTTGTTTCCTTGACCTCTGCTTGTTTTGTCAAAGAGAGCCGCCAGGGTTTTGCTGAGGCATTTTGAGGAAGGAGGGAACTCCAGAGAAGAAGGAGAGTTAAGGTTTGCTGGGGGTCAAACATGGCACCCCAATAGCAACACTATGGGGTGGCAGGAAGACCATAGAGAACGGGTTGTCTCCCTCTTTGGAGATGAGGGGTCTGGTTCCTTTTTTTATTTTTTGGTTGACTGAGGGATGACTCTGGGATTGCTAAAACTCAAGCGATCTCATGTCAGGAGCACAAACGTCCTCCTGTCGTTGCTAGATCTTGCATAGAAGTAAGGACACATTTCCTCTTAGCGTGGTTTGAATTTTTTTAAAATAAAAACCCAGCATTGGTCTTCCTATTTTGGGATGGAAAGAACAGGAGTGACTAATATATAAGAGAGACGAAAACAGACCGATTCGCTCCCCTGGATTTGGGGCCTCGAGAGGCTTCGGTTTCTTTATTTCCTCCTCATCCCCATCGCACCTCCACTTCCTTTCCCGAGAGCTGCGTCCTGTACACAATTTGGAAAGAGTGCTCCAGATCTCACGGGTTAAAACCACTACTTCCGTGTTAAGGGGAGGCTGAGCCGAACTGATGCACCGGCAGAATAATTCTTTGGAAGTTTTGAATGCAGCTTTTGAAACTTGTACATTTTTAAAAGCATCAGATGTCGTCCGCTAGTTTACGGCAGAAGGGTTAAGATGCCTTATTTCAAAGTTTTGGTTTTGCATCATCCTTTCCCTCCACCCGGTTAAAAAAAAACAGGGATCGTGACATACATGCTTGGGGGTCTCTCTCCTCTGTGGCCTTAAATCTGTGTCTCCCTTCCCTTGTTTTGCTTCCCGCTACGCCCCTTGGGGGGCCAAAGGAGAGACCCCTCATCCTTGCGACTGTGTTGCAGTGACTGCTCCATGGAAGTATGGAGGCCAGCGCACCCCCACTGTTCATGCGAGAGCTTCTGCGGAGGGTCGGGCAGGCAGGGGTCAGTCAGATAAAAACCCAACGGGTTTGTTCACCCGGGCGGAAGGGCAGTGGGGCCGACTGCCACTAGGGAAGGAGTTGCCGCTTGCGTTCCTTGTGGCGCGCCGAGTCTTGCAGCTGGCACTTGGCAAGGCATGCAAGCGAGGGCTTCTTCAGTAGGGGCTCTCCTTTCCGAGACCCTGAGCTCCTGGGAAGTCCGGAGAGGCTCTCTCTCGGGAAAGAAGACCCGAGATCCGAGATTTGCACCCACTCCTGCTCCTCATCTTGACCTCCCCGAGGCTTTTAAGAAATTGACCGAGCCTGTTCACATCTTGTTGTGACCGATTTTTTAAAAAAAAACAGTACTGTTTGGGGAGCCCCAAGCCACACAGAATTGGCTCTCATCTCCCTTAAAGGGTCCAAGGGAGGAAAACCGGAATTTTGACATTGAAAGGCAATCCTAGAGGTCCAGCGTTTTGTCCCCCTCCACCGGCTGATTTAGGACCTCGTGTTGGCACACGCTTTCCTGATGCCCAGGGCTGGGGTTCGTGGGGCGGGCATCTCCTATGGGGCATGATTGGAGGTTCGACAGAGCAGACCCAAGGGGAGTTTAAAGACCGTTGGGATTTTGAGAGCGGGTTTTCGTGCGCCGCATGGAAGCAAAGCAGCTGGGGAGGAAGTGGAGGGCGAGCGGGTGGGGCAGCTCCCAGTTCTTGAGCCGATGGGACAGCTTCTGGAAGTCTTTTCCTGTACATAAAGGATCCTGAATTAAGCATAGTCTGGGTGACTTTGTGTAACATTTGATTATGTAGTCCAGCCACCAAGACTTCTCCTGTACATAAAGGATGCTGAAATAAAGCATAGTCTAGGTGACTTTGTTTAACACCTAAATACTCAACAGAAGGGAAGTGCTCATTTCCACTCTCTTGTACATGAAAGGGACTCAAGTATGATGTGGTGTTTTTTTTGTTTGTTTGTTTGTTTGAGTCTGTGGAAAACTAGCACTTCAGAATAAAGCAATTCCCAAAGAATGTGCTTTTCTCTCTCTCAAGTTTTCTCCCAAACTTAAAATTCTTCCTCTCTCTTCTCTTTTACTATCTTTTACTCATTCACTTCTATTTTATGCCTATTGGAAATATTGACTATTGAGCATTGCTTAGTACTAGGAATAAAATACATCAGGACATTATTAGTAAAAGCTTTGAAAAGCTTTGTGCTTCTGTGGTTTTTGGGAAGAGAGGACAAGAAAAAAAACCACAGGTAGCTCTTAGAGGCGGAAAGGTGCTCAGCATTGCTCCCCCCCTCCCGCCATCCACTCTCCCTCCTCCCGGTTTTCACCCTACTCCTTCCAAGCCGACAAGTCCAGCCCTGAGATTTCCCGGCACTTCACAAAATCACGCGGGTACTGATTCTTCTTGAAAACATCCCTCGGCACCTCCTTGATGCGCGTGTTGTCACAAATGATGCGGGGAAATGAGATGCGGCTCAGCGCTCGGCGTTGTTGGGGGGTGAACACCCCAGGGTTTTCCCACCAGAACCTGTTAAAAATAAGGGGAAGACATGAAGGGAGGTAAACCGACATGGGTCACATTTCGGTGTCACACTAAGCCATAGTTTCTGTTAATGGTGGTTTGTTGCTTTAGCCATGAATTCCCCCACAGCTGAGAAAACATCAAGGCCATCCTTGTTGGCCATGATCCTGTTAGTCATCAGGAGGCAGAGCTTCATGCCTGAGAAAAATCAGACCTTAGATCCATGAAACAAAAGCTAATTTTTATAAATTACAGGAAGTGAGACAAGCGCCTTCCATGGCAATTGCACACAATCTGCCCATAAGGTGTCCCCACTTTTCAGGATGGCTTTGCTTTAACCCATGGTTCCTAAGCTTGGGTAACCCAGATGTTATTGGACTACAATTCCCACAAGCCTTCACTACTAGCTGCGCTGCTCATGGTTTCTGGGGGTTGAAGTCCAAGAACACCTGTAGCTGCGCTGCTCATGGTTTCTGGGAGTTGCAGTCCAAGAATACCTGGATTACTCAAGCTTGGGAACCACTGCTGTCACCTATACTGGGCTTAACAAGGTCCAAAATCCCCCTCTCAAGCTTGGGAACCACTGCTGGGCTTAACAAGGTCCAAAATCCCCCTCCCAGGTGGTACAGCCCCAGGAATCTGGGTCTTGTAGTTGGAAAAAAAATTACTTCTACAAGATCTGGGCCAACCAGGTTGCTGAAAGGAGGCAAGGCAGGCCCACTTCTCACTACTGGCACACAGAGAGAGCATGTAGAGCAAAACCTTAGGAAGTGCCGACGCTACCTGTCTCCATCACGAATTTTGCGGAACTGGGTCCCGAGGAGACACGCCAGGAGCGGGCCGACCCGGCCGTTGGGGACAAAAGGTTCTGCCATGCTCCCGATCCAGATGTCGATATTCTCGGGGGTCCCGTACAGGTCCATGAACTTCTTGGCCAGTTCTGAGTTGCCCATCACAGCGGCCAGCTCGGCTTCGTCGCTGGGTGCCGAGAGGCCACAGAAACGCCTCCAGGCGTTGTACCCTAAACAGGAGCAGAAAGCAGGAGTAGTAAAGCCGCCCCTTTAGGGGAGGTTCAAGTCCCAGGAGAGTCATGGAGGTGGGTATCAGGGAAGAACACAGGATTCTATGAAACCACTTTATACTGAGTAGGACTCTTGATTTGTTTAATCTAGTATGGCCGGATCTGACCGGAAGCTACAGTTCTTTTCTTTCTAAGTTCCCTGGGAGCTGCAAAGCATTAGGGGACTGGTAGTTTTTCTGAGAGGCATCCTTTTCACTGGCTCATGAACAGAGAGACTACCGTCCCCTAATGCTTTACAGCTGCCATTGACCTTAGGAAGCTCCAAGCATGTCCTTCTCTATGATTTAATGCCCGTCACGGCAGAGAGAGAGTCTTGACCAAAAAAAAAGCAGTTATGTATCCTGAAACTCCTCTGAGGACCTGGATTATTATTAATTTTTGCCAGAATTCTATCTACTTGCTGAATTCTAGTAGCTGTAATGGGAAAAAAATCCCAAATCCCATGCCTTATGATCATGTCAGGTGATGCAAAATGTTCTTTCTGCAGAAAACAACAAATCCTGTTGGGTTTTATTATTTTAAAAAGGAGAAAATCCAGGCCCAGGAAGAAGTCTCAGGATCAACATCAGCATTATAGAGAACACTTGATTGAAAGAGTAAACTCCTTAAATGCTGAAGGGCATACGGTTGTCACCGGGGAAAAAAACTTTCTGCCCTTCTTGTACTTTGCAAATTGGCTTGCTCTGTTTTCTTGTGGGTCCCCAAGGGATGTTAACAAGGGTTTCATTTCCAAGTCTGATTACTTAGACCCGAAGGTCTGCTGGAATCACGTCTCTAAAACACTAACATGACTCCACCTAGAATGACAGGTTGTCTATCAGGCATTGTTTTAGCTCTTGGCAAGGTGTGTTTCCTTTTGGGTGGGCTAAAGAGATGGAAGCAATCAGGAAGGCGCCCTGCGAGAGGACTATCCACCTCGCCTGGCTTACCTGGGAGACCGTGGTCTCTCCCCCTCTGGAGATTCAGAGCGGCCAGATCAAGGCCCATGATTTCCACCTGCTCGAAGAGCCGGTCTTGAAGCTCTTTCACCATCATCTGGTTCTGCCTCATGAGCTTGGAGTCGTCAGTCAGGAAGCCACGGAGAAGAGGGTCGATCCCGCCTGGAAGACAAAGATACCAGGCTGAGGTGGTCCAGGCACTGCTACTGGAGCTATTTTTTAAAATTAAAAGCTCTCTTTCGAGAGAGGAAGAAAGGAGCTGGTTTTGGACTACAAGGCCCATAATCCCCTGGCTAGCCGCCGCACACATCCCCTTAACTAGCTGTCCGGCTCAAGTGTCTTGGCTTAAACTCACCAGCCCGCTCCACCTCTGTACGTGGATCGGGGAGGAGGCGCTCTCGTGTCCTGGGCAAACGGTGGCCAGTCACGCAAGTTCATGGCAGTGGTGAACCCACCCTTGGGTTTTCATCCGAACTTTACGAGAGCTGGGCAAAAGTGCTGGATTTTTGGGGAGGCATTCAGCACCCTGGATAGCTCCGGTGGACTTCATATGATAAACTTATGGGAATGGGCATTCTCTGTGCATCACCCCAAGTGCTGCCCCTGTAAGAGCCCCCCCTTGCGGGGAGACGTACATACCTTCCATCACAATTCTCCACGAAGCGCAGAAGGTGAGGTGAAGAGGGGCATAGGAGTACGGCTTCAAGGGCTGGAAGTTCTCGTCCAGCCGGGGCACCAGGGGCGGGACAGAACCGTGTCCGAATCGGAAAGCCAAAGAGAAAACGTTCGACACCGTGGGGTCCACAGATTCGTTGTAGCCTCGATACAGAGGCAGCTGATGGTTTATTTCGTTGCCCAGGGTGAGAGGCAGATAGTCTCGGTACGTAATGATCTGAAACAAAGCCAAGCTCGTCTAAGCCCTAAAGAATCCAACACGGATTTGTTTTTCTTTTAACTAATCTTTCCACGGCTGTCCTGTGACAGAAGCGGTTCCGACCACTCTGGAATCGATGATGCATCAGGTATAACGCGGTGGCAAGACAGCAGCTGTGAGGTAAGGCAGTGCTGGCCAATGTTGGAGCATGTGTGTGGGTTTGAACAACAAATCCCAGAATCCCCTGCCTGGGAGAGAGAGAGGATGGGGGTTGTAATCCCCGAGTAACCTGGGTGTGTGTTAATGGGCACTCTAAATCGTGATGGGAATTCCCTGAACACAGAAATGAAGATTAAGCTACATTCTGCTGCTCTGTTTCTTTGCTGCTCCTTTAATATTTTCATATTTATTTACTTTAAATATCCGTGCCTTGCTTTTCTCCTAAAAAGGATCCAAGGCCATTAATAGTGTTTAGAAAATAGCATTAAAAGCTCAGAACAACAGATCTGAAAAAGAATTCAGTGAATGTTATTGTTCTATCAAGTCGGAACTGATTGTAGCGAACCTAATAGGGTTTTCAAGGTAAATGGGATATTTTAAGGAGTTGTTTTATCAGTTCTATGCCCTCAGTGAGTTTCCATAGCTGAACTAGGATTCAAACTCAGGACTCCTGAGTCCTCGGCCATTGCTGTATCCACTACACTACAAGACTAATAAAACACAGGTGTCAGAAACAAGAAACATCCTATTTTTCCCCAATACAGGACCAAGGTGGGTCATCACCTAAATGAAAAGCAGATTCGGTTAAGGTTGCAAGAGTCTTATAACCCTATTTGGTGTTAAAAGCTTGCAATGAACCAAAACGAATTTAAAAACATAAGGAAAAACACACAGTGTAACACCAGCCCTTTTAGAGCAACCCAGAGCAAACCAGGTGAACTGCCCAAGGTATGCCGAACCACAGGTTTGGACCCCGAAGCAGAGAAGCCCGTTACCTGAGTCTGCGCCCCGACAATTTTCCGAGCTTCTTGGTAGAGCCTCTCACCATCCCAGTGAGGATTCAGATTCCTCAACTCAGTCGCCAACCGGTTGTGTTCCCGGACAAACAGGGTGTGAATGGCCGACAGCCCCAGGTTTTCGGTGACCCGTTTGTCCCCTGGAAAAAATTCAAGATATGGCAGACATTCCCACATGGAGCGCTTGGAATAAAAAGGGGGGGGGGACCGTATCCAGGCCACTCGTAAGAAAGCTGGGAAAGAATGGGATCTCTTAACCCTTGGGACTCCGAGTCCCAGAAGCCACCATCAGCTTCTGGGACTCGAGGGCGATGGGGGTTGTAGTCCCTAATGATCTGGAGGGTCTGAGATGCAGAAATGATTCTGAAATTGTTACTTCTCTACATCATTTGTTCTGCTCTAGCTCGTCAAGAGCAGCTACTAAGAACTGGGTCAAAGAAATCTAAAATGTGCAATTTATTGACAATTCTCCTTTGGGAGAATTACACACAGGTGTATCTCTCTGGCTCAGGCGTACCTGCTTGAAAACACGGGATGTTGGCGGTTTTGTTTGTGTAGAGACACAAGCTCCGGGTTTTGTTCTCAAAAGGTAGGAGCCCTAAGCCGGCGTCCGTGAAGTTCTGGTTGAGCGCCATCAGGCCCAGAGGGTTGCTGAGGTTTCGGAGGTTTTTCGCCAATGGCTCTTCGCTGCCGTAGACCATGCTGGCATCTATGAAGGAGGTGATGGCATTCAGCTGCTCACGGATCAAGGTGGTGGGATTGCACACCGGGGCGCTCCGGATGAAGGGCATGCAAAGGCCAGAGGAAATCCGTGGGTCTCCATGAGGGATCTGTACAAGAAGAAGAAAAAATCACCAGTCCCTGAATCAAAACCTCTAGGGATCGGTGCCTACACTGTCAATCAGGGTGGATAACTTCTAGGTGTCTGGGGAGGCGCACCTGGCCATCCTTGGAACTTGGGAGGGGTGCAACAGCCATCCTGTGCTGCCCATTTCAAAATAATTCTTTTTTTTAAAAAAAAACTTTTTTTGCGGAAAAGGCTAATTGGTGCCCTCTAGTGGCTAAAAGTATTTTTCTTTAAAGATTAAAAAAATTAAAAATGGAGGTAGTGTTATTAGAAGAGGGGGCCATACAAGGTAAGATTTTCCTCCATGCTCTCCTTCCTGAGGTCAGAAAGGGACTTTCTGAGCAGAAATAAATACATTAGTAAATTTTTAAAAACTCTGTTGTTGTTTTTTAAGAGGTAAGATTGCTGGGTGGAGGAAGCTTGGGTGGATCCATGAACCCGTTTCATCTGGAGCTGTTTCGGAAAGCATGACGGCAGCTTTGGACAAACCTCTGAATTGTTTGTTCTGTGCCATGAAGCCACATGCAACTCTGCGGTGAGTTTCCAGCACTGAGCAGGGATTCGAACCTGAGTCTCCTGAGTCCTAGTCAAATCATCCCAGCCATTCTGTTATTTTTTTTTCTGTGCAGCTACTCTGGCCACCCATGATGAGCCACCGAATTTTGACCCCCCTCATCACCTTGATCGGGAAGCAAGGAGGTGCGTAGTTGCAGCTGGTGTCACAGTGAGCTTCCTTGTTGTCAATGGTGGTGGCGGTCATAGGGGCATGATCCAGGTCGTGGTCCACCCACTGGCCCCAATGCATGAAGGCCAACGAACGCCCCTCGTCATCCGTGACGTTTTCGTTGGCGGTGGCGATGATATTGTTGGAAACAAGCCGCACCTGCGAGGAGGCCCCCCCAGAAACACAGAGCACCCATCAACGCTTAAGAAGGAAGCCTTCATGTCCTCTGTCTATATCACACACACACACACACGAACACACACACACACACACACAATGCAGAAAAGTTACTTTCTCAGGGTCCAACTCCAGTGGCTATGCTGGATGGAGGAAACTGGGAGCAAGAGCTGAGAAAGTGGTTTTTCCAGGCTGTAGGTTGTTCCTATGGAGCCAGAGGTTGGGAGTTCGAATCCCCCACGGGGTCTGCATGACAGGGGTTGGGCTGGATGACCCTTAGGGTCCCTTCCAGCTCCATCATTCTAAGATCTCTAAGAAGAAATTAGGGATAGAAACTCAGCTTGGGTAGGGTTTCTTTTTGCATCGGGGAATGTCTCTTTTCTAAATCTGGGTCTCGTGGGAAAGACTGTGGGACGGTGTTGCGGAGGGACGAGAGAGGTCTCCTTCGGTCCTCTGATGGTGGCCACAAAGCTTTCCACCTTTGTCCACCACCTGGATCCACCCTCGTGGGCAACTTGTGGCCATTAGAGGTGGCCCTAGCTATGGCTCATGGTCCATTATCATCGAAGGGGCTAACAATCCGGATGTCGTTCAGGCTTTTTGACTGTGTCGGCCAACCCCATCACCCAAGGATAGCGGTTTGGGCCTCGAACCCGAACATTTTGAAATGCTCCTGTATGCGTGACGCCCAGTGCTTGATGTTCTGCACCCTAAACCCAGCCTCTTACCAGTGGTAGGGAATGTCCATGGTACAGTTGACCTGGAATAAGCCCTCTTGGAAGAGACATGCCATCCTCGTATTCAGCCGGAAGCCAGCGGGCATAACCGTGGTTGGACATCCCAAAATGAGGGTTTTTCCTAGCAGTGGGAAGAGAAGCTGGCAATGAAGTTGGGCGGTTTGGGCCGTGTTGAAGTCTTTCCTGATGTTCCGGCCCAACTGGATGCGTCCCCCAGAGGCTGGAACCCCTCCCGATCCACAAGAAGATTGTTTAGATGAAGGCAACCCTCCTCTCCAAATCCCCCTTTTTCCTGTTCTGTCTTTGGCACGGACCCCTTCCTCCTGCTTCCAAATATTAAGGCTCGAATTTGATTCTGTGCTTGCGGGACTGAACAGAGATCATGGTAACCCCTTCCTCCTGCTTCCAAAATGCACGATTAAGGCTTGAGTTTGATTCTGTGCTTGTGGGACTGAACCGAGATCATGGTTCCCACATGTACCGGAGATGTCTGCCAGCGAACCTATAAAATCAAGGACCACTACGCTGTGTCTATAAATGGCAATCCTGCAATCTGATGCGGTGCGAGGGATGTGATCAGGATTACTCCTGGGGCTTTTTAGGATGGGTTTGCTCCTCTTCCGGGTGGCCACGCAATGTACAGGCCACGACAAACCAGCCTGTCTCCTATTTGAGCCTCCCCGTCCCTTTTGAGATCCCCATCAGGGGCTACTAGTGTTGCGTGGTGTTGTGTTTCCGTATGGATAGGATCACTCTATTCGGTTCCCCCATGTGGGGTCACTGGGTTTCTAGTGGGAGTCAAGCTGTCGCTTTCACCTTACCCACTGAAAGCTTTAAGCCGGGGTTAGCAGATCAAAAGCATCCTCCTCGTTTTCCTGAGTCACTTCGGTGTCTTGATCCTTCCTTTTTTTTCCATTTTGGCCCCCTTGCCCAGCCTCGGATTGTAAGCCCCTTGGGGCAGGGGCCCATTTCTTACACTCAAGGTGACAATCACTGCCCGACGGTGCCGCTTCCTAAGCAGAACTATAGACAGCGTTTTCATAGCAGGACGACTGCCCACCTGTTGTTACATTGCCCGGTGATCGTCCGATAAGGGCTGTTCTCCGGACAGTCAATGGGCCGGATCGGGTAATCGCAACCGGTGGCCAAGGCGATGGTCTCTTTTTGCTTGGTGTTTAGGACCTCTAAAAGGAAATCAACCAGCAATTAACATCATGGCTCCTTTGCTTTGCTTTTGGGGCCAGTTCCGCTTCGATTTAAAATGTGCCGCTTCGCTCCTGAGATCTCATCGCTCCATTTTGATCCTTAACAACGCCCCTGCAGAGTAGATTCAGCTGTGGAAAACCCCCTGGTGCCGCATCACCTCTGTGAGCCTCGTAGATGAGCACAGATTCAAACACAGTTCCCCCCAGTCCAGAACTACACCACACTGTCTTTCATCCAGCCCAAAACTCTTAGGGATGTCTTTGAACATCTCCTCTTATAGTAGGACCCCTTGTATTTGCGTAGAATTGGTTCAAATTTAATCGGCTAGCCTACAGCATGCGGATGCTGAAACACACGGAAAATTGCAAACATTTTAAAGAGTGAAAACCCTTTATAGTATGTTCTCTGGCTCCCTCTCATGGCCAGTTCTGGTAACTTCATTTTTATAAATATATTTCGGGGGCAGGGGAGGGTTTCTTTTAATATTTTCAGGCTGTGGATAAGTGGATCAGTGGATACTGAACCTGCGGATAAGAGGGTCCTACTTTATTTCAAAAGACCCCTTTTTTGGAGAAGTGTTTCTCCAAACACGTCCTTCAGGGCACTTCTCTCTCTCTCTGTATCTCTCTGCCTTCCCCCTTCCTAACCATTCTCAAAACTCAATTTCATCATGAATTAGAATAAAATATGAAAGGTGGGGGGTTGTTTATGGGCTCCCTGCCCCCAATAATTCAAGCCTGGGTTCAGCAGGGATTTCTCTTAAGCATGTATTAGCTATGGAAGAGAACCTCCATGTTCAAGAGAAGCCTACCACGGAGTAGCACTTGCTAGGATCAAACCATAGGCGAGCTGTTCCTTAGTGCTGGGGGAAGCCAGCATGGCTAAACAATCCTTTTTGCAATAGGCCGATCCGGCATGGCCTTGTTGCAGCTTCATACTTCTTTCCAAAAGTTTTGTTTCTTTCCAAAACATAACAAGAGGCTAGTCCTCAAGAATCTGCATGAACTTCCTAGGCTTTAAGTTGTCGTCGGGTGCCTCTTCTCTGCACGATACCTGTGATGTTGAAGGGTCTCGGCCACTTCTTCTGCAACTTCTTCTTCAGGAGGTCCAGAGAGGCCTCCATGTAACTGCCTGCCCGCATGGCGTGCCTCGTTCCCGCCACCGGCTCCTTTAAATGTTTCAGAAAATCGGACGGGGTGACATGCGTCTTGTTCAGGCCTGCCTTCACTCTGAAAAGAGAAGGGGGCGATGGGACAGCTTGAAAAAGCAGTCATAACATATTTTCAGAAAGCTGAGTTCGTGCAGTGTCTTGTCAGTAAAACCGATAAATACTTATAACATGGAAACCTCACTACCAGGAGAGGAAACACTGTCATTCTTCCATTTATTTTTATAAAGTACTCTGCCACCTTTTATTGTAGTAGCAAACCACTGTTGGACATAACCTAAGAGAGAAAAGCTGGGGAAGATGGAAGGCAGCAGGAAAAAGAGGAAGACAAAATACGAGATGGAATGATTCCCTTAAAAACCCACAGATATTTGTTTGCAAGAGCTGAGCTGAGCAAAATGACACTTTGGAGGTCACTCATTTATAGGGTTGCGATGAGTCGGGGGGCAACTAGATGGCTGGGACCGTGCAAAAATGAAAACAAGAGATAGTGCTGGAAGATGAGACTCCCAAGGCAAGGGCTATTTGATTGCTCACTCACAGGGTCTCCAGAAGTGAGAGATAACTTGATGGCAAACAATAAACAGAGACTAGCAAAACCCATCTGGCTGGGGTTGGCATTTTTGTGGGTAAGCCTGGCAAAGCGTCGCATATTCTGATTCCAGCATTGGTTACTAAAGAAAATAATTGCACAGCTTTGCAAGGCGGGCTGGTGCCATGAGATTAAAAAAATTAAAAATGGGGGTAGTGTTATTAGAAGAGGGGGCCATACAAGGTAAGATTTTCCTCCAAGCTCTCCTTCCTGAGGTCAGAAAGTGACTTTCTGAGCAGAAATAAATACATTAGTAAATTTTTAAAAAATGTGTTAATTTTTTTAAAGAGGTAAGATTGCTGGGTGGAGGAAGCTTGGGTGGATCCGTGAACACGTTTTAATCTGGGGCTGTTTCGGAAAGCATGACAGCAGCTTTGGACAAACCTCCGAATTGTTTCTTCTGTGCCATGAAGGCACATGAAACTCTGCGGTGAGTTTCCAGGACTGAGCAGGGATTCGACCCCGAGTCTCCTGAGTCCTAGTCAGATCATCCCAGCCATTGTGTTATTATTTTTTCTGTGCAGCTACTCTGGCCCCCCATGATGAGCCACCGAATTTTGACCCCCCTCATCACCTTGATCGGGAAGCAAGGAGGCGCGTAGTTGCAGCTGGTGTCACAGTGAGCTTCCTTGTTGTCGATGGTGGTGGCGGTCATAGGGGCATGATCCAGGTCGTGGTCCACCCACTGGCCCCAATGCATGAAGGCCAACGAACGCCCCTCGTCGTCCGTGACGTTTTCGTTGGCGGTGGCGATGATATTGTTGGAAACAAGCCGCACCTGCGAGGAGTCCCCCCCCAGAAACATAGATCACCCATCAACGCTTAAGAAGGAAGCCTTCATGTCCTCTGTCTACATCACACACACACACACACACACACACACACACACACACACACACACAAAATACAGAAAAGTTTCTTTCACACGCTCCCACGGGGCCTGCTTGACAGGGGCTGGACTGGATGACCCTTAGGGCCCCTTCCAGCTCCATCATTCTAAGATCTCTAAGAAGAAATTAGGGATAGAAACTCAGCTTGGGTAGGGTTTCTTTTTGCATCGGGGAATGTCTCTTTTCTAAATCTGGGTCTCGTGGGAAAGACTGTGGGACGGTGTTGCGGAGGGACGAGAGAGGTCTCCTTCGGTCCTCTGATGGTGGCCACAAAGCTTTCCACCTTTGTCCACCACCCGGATCCACCCTCGTGGCCAACTTGTGGCCATCAGAGGTGGCCCTAGCTACGGCTCATGGTCCAATATCGTTGAAGGGGCTAACAATCCGGATGTCGTTCAGGCTTTTTGACTGTGTCGGCCAACCCCATCACCCAAGGATAGCGGTTTGGGCCTCGAACCCGAACATTTTGAAATGCTCCTGTATGCGTGACGCCCAGTGCTTGATGTTCTGCACCCTAAACCCAGCCTCTTACCAGTGGTAGGGAATGTCCATGGTACAGTTGACCTGGAATAAGCCCTCTTGGAAGAGACATGCCATCCTCGTATTCAGCCGGAAGCCAGCGGGCATAACCGTGGTTGGACATCCCAAAATGAGGGTTTTTCCTAGCAGTGGGAAGAGAAGCCGGTGATGAAGTTGGGCAGTTTGGGCCGTGTTGAAGTCTTTCCTGATGTTCCGGCCCAACTGGATGCGTCCCCCAGAGGCTGGAACCCCTCCCGATCCACAAGAAGATTGTTTAGATGAAGGCAACCCTCCTCTCCAAATCCCCCTTTTTCCTGTTCTGTCTTTGGCACGGACCCCTTCCTCCTGCTTCCAAATATTAAGGCTCGAATTTGATTCTGTGCTTGCGGGACTGAACAGAGATCATGGTTCCCACATGTACCAGAGATGTCTGCCAATGAAGCTATAAAATCAAGGACCACTACGCTGTGTCTATACATGGCAATCCTGCAATCTGATGCGGTGCGAGGGATGTGATCAGGATTACTCCTGGGGCTTTTTAGGATGGGTTTGCTCCTCTTCCGGGTGGCCACGCAATGTACAGGCCACGACAAACCAGCCTGTCTCCTATTTGAGCCTCCCCGTCCCTTTTGAGATCCCCATCAGGGGCTACTAGTGTTGCGTGGCGTTGTGTTTCCGTATGGATAGGATCACTCTATTCAGTTCCCCCATGTGGGGTCACTGGGTTTCTAGTGGGAGTCAAGCTGTCGCTTTCACCTTACCCACTGAAAGCTTTAAGCCGGGGTTAGCAGATCAAAAGCGTCCTCCTCGTTTTCCTGAGTCACTTCGGTGTCTTGATCCTTCCTTTTTTTTCCATTTTGGCCCCCTTGCCCAGCCTCGGATTGTAAGCCCCTTGGGGCAGGGGCCCATTTCTTACGCTCAAAGTGACAATCACTGCCCGACGATGCCGCTTCCTAAGCAGAACTATAGACAGCGTTTCACAGCAGGATGACTGCCCACCTGTTGTTACATTGCCCGGTGATCGTCCGATAAGGGCTGTTCTCCGGACATTCGATGGGCCGGATCGGGTAATCGCAACCGGTGGCCAAGGCGATGGTCTCCTTTTGCTTGGTGTTTAGGACCTCTAAAAGGAAATCAACCAGCAATTAACATCATGGCTCGTTTGCTTTGCTTTGGGGGCCAGTTCCGTTCCAAGGGGGAGGCCAAGGGGGAGGATTTAAAATGTGCCGCTCAACTCCTGAGATCTCATCACTCCATTTTGATCCTTAAGTGGAAAAGCCCCCTGGTTCAACATCACCTCTATCAGCCTCATGGATGAGCACAGATTCAAAGCCGGTTCTCCCCAGTCCTGGATTGGCATTCCAGCCACTACACCAATCTGTCTTTCATCCAGCCCAACACCCTTTGGGATGTCTTTGAACATCTCCTCTTACGGTAGGACCCCTTGTATCCATGGGGAATTGGTTCGAATGTAATCAGCTAGCCTATAACATGCGGATGCTGAAACATGCGGAAAATAGCAAACATTTTGAAGAGTGAAGTTGCTACATGGTATGGTCTCTGGTTCTGTCTAGTGGCCAGTTCTGGTAACTTCATTGTTACGAATATATTTTGCAGGGATTTTTCTTTTAATATTTACAGGCTGTGGATAAGTGGATCAGTGGATACTGAACCTGCAGATAAGGGGATCCTTCTTTATTTCAAAAGACCCCCTTTTTTGGAGAAGTGTCTTTCCAAACACATCCTTTGGGACACATCTCTCTGTGTGTGTCTCTCTGCCTTCCCCCTTCCTAACCATTCTCAAAACTCAATTTCACCATGAAGTAGAATAAAATAGGAATGATGGGGGTTGTTTATAGGCTCCTTGCCCCCCAATAATTCATGCCTGGGTTCAACAGGGCTGCCTCTTAAGCATGGATTAGCTATGGGAGTGAAGAGAATTCAAGAGAAGCCTACCACGGAGTAGCACTTGCTAGGATCAAACCATAGGCGAGCTGTTCCTTAGTGCTGGGGGAAGCCAGCATGGCTAAACAATCCTTTTTGCAATAGGCCGATCCGGCATGGCCTTGTTGCAGCTTCATACTTCTTTCCAAAAGTTTTGTTTCTTTCCAAAACATAACAAGAGGCTAGTCCTCAAGAATCTGCATGAACTTCCTAGGCTTTAAGTTGTCGTCGGATGCCTCTTCTCTGCACGATACCTGTGATGTTGAAGGGTCTCGGCCACTTCTTCTGCAACTTCTTCTTCAGGAGGTCCAGAGAGGCCTCCATGTAACTGCCTGCCCGCATGGCGTGCCTCGTTCCCGCCACCGGCTCCTTTAAATGTTTCAGAAAATCGGACGGGGTGACATGCGTCTTGTTCAGGCCTGCCTTCACTCTAAAAAGAGAAGGGGGCGATGGGACAGCTTGAAAAAGCAGTCATAACATATTTTCAGAAAGCTGAGTTCGTGCAGTGTCTTGTCAGTAAAACCGATAAATACTTATAACATGGAAACCTCACTACCAGGAGAGGAAACACTGTCATTCTTCCATTTATTTTTATAAAGTACTCTGCCACCTTTTATTGTAGTAGCAAACCACTGTTGGACATAACCTAAGAGAGAAAAGCTGGGGAAGATGGAAGGCAGCAGGAAAAAGAGGAAGACAAAATACGAGATGGAATGATTCCCTTAAAAACCCACAGATATTTGTTTGCAAGAGCTGAGCTGAGCAAAATGACACTTTGGAGGTCACTCATTTATAGGGTTGCGATGAGTCGGGGGGCAACTAGATGGCTGGGACCGTGCAAAAATGAAAACAAGAGATAGTGCTGGAAGATGAGACTCCCAAGGCAAGGGCTATTTGATTGCTCACTCACAGGGTCTCCAGAAGTGAGAGATAACTTGATGGCAAACAATAAACAGAGACTAGCAAAACCCATCTGGCTGGGGTTGGCATTTTTGTGGGTAAGCCTGGCAAAGCGTCGCATATTCTGATTCCAGCATTGGTTACTAAAGAAAATAATTGCACAGCTTTGCAAGGCGGGCTGGTGCCATGGTGGGTTTATGGTGGCTTAAAGGTGGTGCGTAAACACAGGAAGGAAGGAAGGAAGGAAGGAAGGAAGGAAGGAAGGAAGGAAGGAAGGAAGGAAGGAACTGCTTCTTCCCTGCAATTTTGTGCAAAAAGTACTCACTTGTCCCGGGATACTTTGTATGCTTCATCAACCAACTTCCTGGCTTCGTTAACACTATTTAAAAGCTCAGAACCACTCAGCTGTTCCGAGACATCTGCTTCTAAAGAAAAGAGATTATCATGTTCAACCAGTTTCATCCGTGAAAAGCCTCAAATCAGCACAAACAAAGCAAATGCTCCTTCTCCCCGCACCTGGTTCTGCCAGGTACACTGCCTCTAAACCTGGAGGTTTCGTTTTGCCCCCAAAGTAAAGACCTATATAACTACTCCTATGGTTGAGAAACCGGTCCCCTTTGGGGATGTATCCCACCCCCTAGTAAAGATGATTGCACCCCTGGGTGCAATTTTTCATGGCACTCGGTGTGGCCAATTTTCTGTGCCCAGGATTCCCAAAGGACCGCACGGAGAGCCGTAAATGGGGAGAGGGGTGAACCCAAATGGGAAAGAACGTAAAGTCTGTAGAAGACCAAACATATATCGGCATGAAACCTTAAAGCCTGGGTTCTTCAGCCTATAGAAAAAGTTCTGTTGCTATCTCTGAGTGACCCCAGGACTGCCGTTTGATCTTTCTGCTTTTCCTCTTGGGGGGAAAAAATCTCTGGGAAGCAGACCGGGGAGGGCAGTCTGCCGGGACTGCAGAAAAAGCCACCGAGTCTGAATGTGAGCCCCATAAGAGAAAAATAAGAGGAATGGAATGGGCGGGGGAGGTCTCTTGAAAAAACAAACATCACGTATTTTGTTTTGCAAAAATCCAAGACCACCAGAAAGACAAATGAAGACGTCCTTAAATCAAGCCTGGATTTTCGCTGGAAGAAAGAAGAAAATATTGAAAATGAGTCTGTCCTACTTTGGGCACCTCACGAGAGGAACGGATTTCCCAGGAAAAGACCATCATGCTTGGAAAGGTGGAAGGCCGCAGGAAATGAGGAAGTCCAAACGTGAGATGGACGGACTCCCTCAAGGAAGTCACAGGCTTGAGTTAAAAAAAAGCTGAGCAGGGCTGTTGGGGACCGGGCATTATGGAGGTCACCCATTCCTATGTAAGACGTCAGAAGTGACGTGATGGCACAAAAACAGTCTATTTAAAAAGTCAGAGCTGTAAAAAGTTAACACGTTCCTTTTGGGCTGGAGATTCTGGCAGTGGTCATCCCCAGACTTAATTCTGTAGACCTAATAAATCCTCCCCCCCCCCCC